CTCGTCGAACCGCACGTAATCGGAGACGGCTTTGCAGAACTGTCGGTGTCGGCCGTCTTCCGTGACGTTCGGTCGCTCCAGACCTCCCGGTGTGTGAATGTATGACTTGTAATACCCGTTATCTATGGTGAACACGGGTACGGCTGTCGCCACTCGGCTAACTGTGCCGTACAAACACACGCTGTGAAAGTACGGCGACTTTGTATACTTGTCCAAACACTGGTAATAGTCTTCTTTGTCGATCAAGTGTCCGCACGGGAACCGATCGATCGCTTTGTATGAGAAGCCAAACACCCGTTGACTCGTGTCTGTGAGGGAGTCATTGATATCGTTAGAAACACAATTAATGAATGCGTTTTTAAAATTCAATTCTCTATTGAAAACACAGACCAAAGCCTTCGGTCTCGAGGAATGGGCCGAAGTGTGAGTCGAAAACCAGATTTTGGATGTTTTGCCCTTTGAGTGGAGAACCCGTCGGATACGAGTCGGCAGTAAATCCATAATCTCTTAATCGCCAAAAACTAGAGTTTCGCTGAAAGTATAGATCGGATCCCAAATTCAATATATTATCAAAATCGTAGTTTTGGTCGCAAAAGTCAAACGGAGTGAACGGCGCCCGGCGTTCGTCGCACCGCAAAAACAGGTCGTGAGTCATATCCTTAACACAAATAACAATTAAAATGTAAATAAAATATCGATTAAAAAACAACAACAAATACCATCGCGAGTGTAAAATAACTTTTTACCTGGTTTTTATTATAGCGGATCTTACTCTGAGTGCTGGTCGTTTCGATTGTGATTTCATGTAACGGTGTTTTGAGTGAACAGTATTCGCCGCAACCCCACACTCTCCACGTGTCGTTCGTATAGATCTTATTGTATTTGATAAGTGATATCATTTCGGTTTCATTGCCTAAATCATAGTTAGCTTTAACGCCGTCTATGTCTTCGCTCAGGTAATGCAAGTTCTCTAATGTATTGGTGTTCGGGTCTATGCGTCTGAATATAGCGATACTTCCGTTCGCGCGATGAGGACTATCGCCGGTGTCCTCCGCGAGCATAACGGCCACCAATTGTCTCCACTCTGGGATGTAATTCAGTGGAAACGTTTCCGTTAGATATCGGAAGCATTCGTTCACAAAATGCGAGACAAATCCGCCCGAAATGGCAGTAATCGTGTAGTTATTGAAATTGTACAGAAAAACCACCGGTTTATCAACTATTGGCACACAAATCATTATTTAAACAACAATTTAAGTCTCTCTCTCTCTCTCTCTCTCTCTCTCTCACTCACTCACTCACTCACTCACACTAAGTGTTAATAATGAATACCTGTGTCGGGTCTGTAAGCGCAGACAATCTCAACCATAGTTGTGTTAAATACTTCGGTATAATAGCCGCAGAGCTGAACATC